GAATTCTGTGTCCACCTCCATCCTGCCCTCCTGGAGCTCTGCACTGTGCCTGCGAGCAGGCCTCCCCCGGTGGTGGATTGAAGCAGCATTCCACAGCCTTTTCCCAGAAGGGCGGGCGAGGGACCAGGGGGGTGGAGGCTCTGGCCACACGTGTGTGGAGTGTGAGGAAAGACCCGGCCAGGCTGGCCTCCCCAGGGACCAGGCCTGGCATGGGGCCCCCAGCTGCAGCACCGACCTGGCCAAGGCCTTCTTCACACTCAAAGAACCCCACCCGTGCCTCTGGGGCCACTATCCCAGCCGTGCCATGGAAGGCAGGCAGCATCTTTGTGGTGGGCAGCCACGCGTCCACCAAAGACTGCCCAAATCAAAAGCCCACTGAGGATTCAAGCCTACCAAAGAAGAAAGGCCAGAGAAGGGGCCTCTAAGTCACAGGCTGTCTGCTTCTTGGACAGTCTGGCACCCAAGTACAAAGTGCAAGGGGACCCCAGAAGGACTCCCTCCCCGTTCTGGCCCAGCCTGCCTCCTTCATACCGAGAGTTACTAAGACACAGGGGACAGAGGTCAGAGCCAGGCCCAAGTCAGCTACGCCATCAGCTCCTCCTGTCAGTGGCCCTAGCAAGTCACTTCTCTGCTGCAGGCCTCAGTTTCCCCATCTGTTGGCTGAGAAAACGCTCTCTGCCCATCTCCTCCAGAAAAGACTTGCTATGAGGTAAGTCAGTGCCTCCCTTGTACTCCTCTTCCCTGGCACCACCAGCCACATGCATGGGGCAGGCTACAGGACTGGTGCCAGCTGCGAGCAGAGATCTCTTGGGTGTTTGGGATTCTTCCTGCCCAAGGGCTGCCTTGGACAGGCTGGCAGCTCCCTGACTCACCAGACTTGGCTAGGACCTCTGCCTCTCTCCCGGGACCCCTGGGAAAGCCTCCCAGATGCCATGTGGATACATATGCCTGGGAGGCCTCCAGGCAGGGACCTTGGCAAATGTTCACCATGCCCCAGTGCCAGCCCGGGCCTGGCCCCAAATCCACAGCAGTGACTTCAGCCCCACCCCCTGAAACGTCCTGGAGACCTTTTTCCTTGGACTTCACCAAACCTACCATGGTGCCTCCTAACTACACAGCTCTAGACTTTCCTGAACTACCCAATCCATGGAATGGAGCCTTTCTCAAAGGTCTGGGACTGTCACACGGGTCTGCAGCTGCTTCCAGCCCACTGCCATCAAGGCAAGACAGGGCCTTAGAGCTGGACCTGCCCAAATTCAAACCCCATCTCTGCAATTTCAAGCTGAGTAGCACAGACCCAGTCATTTCATTTTCCTGACCCCAGCTTCCTCACCTGTAAGTGGGATAATGCCATCAGTCCATGGGGTAGGTGACTGCAGGGACCCAAATAATCATCTATTTGAGGGGCTAGGCAAGCCCGTAGCATACAGAATGCATACAATCAAGGGTGGTTTACAGAATGATAAAAGTGTTAATTTCTGAACTGCCATTTACCACCTGGGTGACCTCTGGCATGTGGCTTCACCTCTCTGGCTTTGGTGCCTCTCCGGATGGCTGAGAGGATTCATGGAAATACCATCTGCAAAACACTCAGCACCCTGCCTGGCACAGAGTGCAGGAGCTCAGAGCACAGCAGCCTGAGGATCACTGCTCTCAAGGAGGTCTCGGGAAGATGAGGCTGAGCAACAGCCCGATGCACCACCTGCTCTACCTGCTCAAATTGGGTCAGGCGAGCAGTGTATCCAGCTGTTGCCAAGGCACCCAACACACAGGGAAACACTCCAGCCAGGAGGGCGGGTGCTGCAGGAGTGGGGCCTTGGGCCTGCTTCACTGACACTACTCATGCTGCCACCACCAGGTCTCTGGGCCATCTCAGGGGTTCCTGGGGGTAGGGGAAATATGCTATTGATCTGGGCTCAGGATCTAACCAGGTCCAGTTCCCCCAGACCCTACCCCAACCTGGAAACAATGGGGCCTTCACTGGCTAGAGGGGCAGACTGTGAAGCAGGGTTCCCAGGCTGCAGACCAGGGTGGGTGGGGTAGGAACCCAGGAACCCCCACCTACTGGGCAAAAACACAGCAAAAGCCAAAGCAGCTCTAAACTGGCCTCAGGTTCCAATGTCACCGTCTGCTGCCTCCAGTCACACCTGCCCAGCAGCAAACAGGTGCCTGGTGGCCACTAACTGCCCAGCTTTGCGGGAGCTCAGTGTCAGTTCCTCCCTCCTCAGCCCCATTCAGGTTGCATGTAGGACAGGGCTGGTAAATGCTTTGGGCTCAGCTGGATTCAGGGAATTCGAGGCCCCTTCCCAGGAGGGAAGAAGGGAAAACAGAGGTGAAATCCAGACCCTGTGGACTAAGACCTGGAACTTCCCAGACTTTCCCTAATGGGGAAGCAGGTTTAGGGCAATGGAAAGGCCAACAGGTAGGGGGACAGTGGCTCCAGGGCCTGGAGCTTAGGCAAGGCCTCAGCCTGAGGCTCAAAATTTATATTCCTCAATGGGATCCAAGACCCTGTCCCCACTCCCAGCTCACACACAGGCCCCTTGCTGACTGGATCTGGTTCCCCCCTCAACCGCCCGCCCAGCCAAAGACCTGGAAAGGTCTGGGCCCAGGCCTGGGCCCCTCTACCCACAGAAGTCACAACTGCTGCAGCAGTGTGCCTGGGCCAGACATAACACACAGATTAACTATACCCTAGAGGTGGGTATGACATCCCCATTTTACCGAAGAGGAAACTGAAGTTCAGAGGCACAAAAGGGTTGAATGCAGGCTTCACTGAATCAACTCAGGCAAATCATGTCCTCTCAGAGCCTGTTTCCACCTCTCTAAAATGGCGATAATAATCCTGTGCAGCCCCCACCTCCACTCCTGTTCCATGACACAGTCCAGGGCTTAAGTGAGAGGTGCTAGTAAAACAGGGAGCCCAGCACCAATGGTTGCTGGTTCTTGCAATCAGAGAGGTTAGGTAACTTGCCCAATGTCACTCAGCCAGTGAATAGTCAACTCCAGGCCCTAGCTGTGAGCACAGCCTTCTCTCTGAAACCTCAGACTGCTGTGTGGGTGGCCTCAGGATCACAGGCTTCCCAGGCAACCAAGGAGGCCAGCCACCCCCACCACAAAGGGCAGCCCTTGTCCAAATTCCTCAGATAAGCAGCTCCCAACAGAACAGGGAGCCAATGCTCAGAAAAGGCACCCCACCCTGTCCACACCGGAGATTCCTAAATCTGAGCTAGGCTGTGCAGTTCCCCTTCCTTCCCCTCCTCCCAGCAGAGTGTTTGACCTCTGGATTCATCCAACAGGTCCCCAGACCGGCGAAGTTCAGTTAACAACAGACTCCTTCGAGGTCCCTGGCAAGCCACTGACTTCTGCTTTCTGGGCCTCAGTTTCTCTGCCTATAACACGCACACATGGGCTCTCAGAACAGGGAGGCAGCTCTGGCTAACAGGGCCCACAAGGAGGCCCGGGGAGCAAAGGGCAGACCAGGTAGGGAAGCAGCCTGTCCCAGGCACTCGGCCAGGCCCTGCCTCCATTCTATTTTATTTTTTAAAAAGAGAGACAGAGGCTGGGTGCAGTAGCTCACACTTGTAATTCCAGCACTCTGGAAGGCCGAGGGGGGGGGTGGATCATTTGAGGTCAGGAGTTCGAGACCAGCCTGGCCAACATGGTGAAACCTCATTTCTACCAAAAATACAAAAAAAATTATCGTGGCGGCGTGCGCCTGTAATCTCAGCTACTGAGGAGGCTAAGGCAGGAGGATCGCCTGAACCCAGGAAGTGGAGGTTGCAGTGAGCCAAGATCGCCCCACTGCATTCCAACCTGGGCAACAGAGTGAGACTTCATCTAAAAAATAAATTAAATTAAAAAAAAATTAGCTGGGCGTGGTGGTAGGCACCTGTAATCCCAACTACTCAGAAGGCTGAGATATGAGAATTGCTTGAACCCGGGAGGTGGAGGTTGCAGTGAGCCATGATTGTGCCACTGCACTCCAGCCTGGGCAACAGTGTTAAATTGTGTCCCCCCAAAAAAGAAAAAAAAAATAGAGATGGGAATCTCCGTATGTTGTCCAGGCTGGTCTTGAACTCCTGGCCTCAAGCAAGTCTTCCAGGTCGGACTCCCAAAGTGCTGGGATTACAGGAGTAAGCCACAGCGTCCGGCCCGCCCCAAGTTCTAGTTGCTGCAGCTTCTCCACCTGTATTAGGCCCACTTTCCAGAAGAGGAGGCCCAGAAAGTAACAGAGTCAAGAGTCACACTCCCATCGGTAGGACTCCAAGGCTCTTCTGAGACAGGCCAGGATGATGTGACCCCAGGTGGGCCCAATCGGCAAGGGACAGCCTGGGAACTCAGTTGCACTCAGCAACAAGCTGGGCAGCTGGACCTGCCAGGATGGGGGCGAACAACACAAAACCAAACTCAACGGAGCCTCTTTCAGAGAGGGCAGCAGCCTCCTCGATAAGGGCATTTGCAATGCAAAGCAGCCCAGCTCCAGCCAGAGGAGGACAGTCACTAGGAGGGGGCTGGGTAGGCCAAAACCCAGCCATCTCCCTCCAGCCAGACTAGGCAGTGCCTGCGATCGGGCCTTCCCAGGCGCCTGGGGGTGCCGGGGAACCCGTGGCTGGCCTGGACTCTGAATCATATGACAGCCCCAGTGGCCAGTTCGGGTGCAAGGTGGTCTGGAACACCCCTTCCCTGCACACCCGCTCAGGCTACAAATCCCTGATAGGCTCTACATGCAAGTCTGCAGAATGGGCCTACTGCAGGCGGCACGCAGGGCCCCAAGAAAAGGCTGAAAGACTAGACCCCCAGGTATTCCGCTGGCGGCGGCTGCCTGGCACCCTGCCAACTGCCTCAGGCCCAGTCCTGCCTTGTGCAACCTGCCCCAGGCACATAGAATCCCCCGGATCCTCCCCACCCCGGCCCCAAGGGGCCCTTCCACACTTGCCAAGTGTCTAGATTTCGCTGATCACCCCTCCTGCTGCAGGCGCGACCGCCCCAGCTCCTACCTTGACGACAAGCTGACAAAATCCCCTCCATCCAGGAGCCGGACCTTGCAGAAGAGGACCCCGTTCACGAAGGGAACCGCAGTCAGCTCCTCCAGGGTGAAAGTGGTTTGGAATTTGAATTTCTTCTTCTTCATCAAGAAAGCCATGAGCGAGTTCCCTGAGTCTGAAGCCGTGAAGGCGAAAAAAGGTGGGGAGGGACGGGATTCCTTTCCCTACACCACACCCCCTCCTCAAAACACCAGAGCCGGATCCCGCCCTGATGGTGGCGGAGACGGCGGAGATCGGAGTCCGGGGCCCCAGGTCTGAGCGACGGACCAGTCCAGTTCGCGCGCCGGCGGTCTTCACCCTCGGGGAGACGGGGCTCGGAGGGGTTCGGAGCGGCCGGGGACCTCACCGGCATGTAAACGGCGGTGCATGGCCCAGGAGGCAGAAGCAGGGGCGGGGGTGCGGGGCTGCGCGCGAGCGGCCGCGCTGGCTGGCAGCATCCCGAGCCGCGATCTCCGGGGAGCTCACGCCGCGCGGCCGGGCGCGACGGGCGGACCGGTGAGACTGAGGGCGGCAGGCAGGCTGGCGGGCCGGTAAGGCTAAGGGCGGAGGGCGGCCCCGCCCCCGCCTCGCTGGCGGCCGGGGGAGGCGCCCTTGCCGCTCACGCCCCCGCAGCTGGGTGCCGGGCGGCCAGCGCAGGTAAAGCCCAGGAAGGTGGGGCACCCCCAGGGGGCTGCCGAGAGCTCGGGGGCCTCTCCAGGAGGCGCGTCGGGGTCGCTGCGGGCCGGGAACGTCTGGCCTCGGGCCTCCTCAGGGCAGGCACCGGGCCGGCCCGGGGCAGCGGGGGCGCAGCCTCCTCCTTGGTCCTGGGACCCGCGCCGCGGGCCCCGGCGGAGCTGAGGCGCCCTTCGGCCCGGCCGGTGGCGCCCGCCTCGCCCAGCACCCCTCGAGCAGCAGCGCCGCCCCCTGCGACCCCGACGCTGCAGCCAAAGCCCGACGCTGCGCGGCGCCGCTTGGAGAATGCCTGGGCCCCGCGCGGCCGCCAGCCGAGCCGCCGCCGAGCGCGGCAGGGGCGGGGCGCCGGCGGCTCAGTCCGCCTGCGATTGGGCGGCCCGGCGAGGCGGGCGCGCAGCGCGATTGGCGGGCGGGGGCGTGGGGTGGGACTCGTGGGAGGCAGAGGCGGTTCGGGGCGCTTGGATTGGTGCACCGTGCGACCGGGCCCGCCTCCTAGGGCAGGGAGGAGCTGAGGGAAGGGAGAGGGGCCCTGGGAAGGCAGTGGGAGGTCGCGGGGCTGGCGGGGCAGGGAGAGCGAGAGCAGAAGAAAAGTAGAAACAATGACAAGGAGAAACAGTTTGTGGCTGCAGCGGCCTTCCAGGGTCCCGCCAGACTTGAGCTCGTAGAACCCTGAAGCAGGCCCAGAAGGTAGCGAGTCTCCTTTCTCAGAAAGCTGGCGCCCAGAGAGCCCCTGGCAGGTCGCTTGCTCGCCCTGAATCTCTAGTGCTCCTCAGCACTGAGCAGAGAAGCGTCTGGAAGGCTTCGTCGAGGAGGTGGCTCTGGCGCAGTCCGTCACGCAGCCTTGTGACCCAGCTTGTAACATTCCAAGCTGTTATCTAAGCCTTCTCTTGTCCTTTAGTTTCTTGCCCAGCGTGGCTGGTCTCACTGACTAGTTAGCTGTTCTGGGGGCAGAGCCCACTCGAAAGCCTTGTATCTCCTGGGCCCCTCGGCATATTGTGGTTCATTCATCCAGTCCCCAAATGTTTAGGGACAGTCTCCGCTGAGCCAGGCTGGGACCTAGTGGGGAACCTGGTGGGCTTGCCCCTTCCAAATGCTCGCAGCTCAAGACCACCAGGTGGAGAAGCAGACAGGGACACAGGCAGCGACAAATCTATGGATAAGATTTGTAACAGGGTAACCAGGGGAGCTCAGAGGAGGCACCTGACATAGGTTGGGGCGCAGACTCAGAAAGTTTCTTGAACAAAGGGACCCAAGCCATCCACAGGATGCGTGCCCTGAGTCACGCAGGGTCGAGGCACAGGGAGCTGCCAGAGACCTGGTGGCCGGAGATCGTGGTGCCCGCAGAAAGTTTCGGGCAACTACATCTGGCTGTACTGTGGCACTTTGAGAGAGGGGCAAGAGATGGGGCTGGCAAGGCCAGATCTCCCAAAGTCTTGTAGACCGTAAGGAGGAAGCCACAGACGCGTTGAGATGGAGAGTGTCCTGGTCAGATTTGCTGGGTTGTTGTTTTTTTTTTTTTTTTTGAGACGGAGTTTCACTCTTGTCGCCCAGGCTGGAGTGCAATGGCTCAAACTCCGCTCACTACAACCTCTGCCTCCCGGGTTCACGCGATTCTCCTGCCTCAGCCTCTTGAGTAGCTGGGATTACAGGTGCGTGCCGCCACACCCCGCTAATTTTGTATTTGTAGTACAGACCGGGTTTCACCGTGTTCACCAGGCTGGTCTCAAACTCCTGACCTCAGGTGATCCGCCCACCTCGGCCTCCCAAAGGGCTGGAATTACAGGTGTGAGCCACCAGGCAAGGCCGGGATTTGCTTTTTGTCCTAAGAAGCTTGCTCTAGCTGCAGGCAGTGTGAAGGGGACAAGGTGGGGGAAATGGGTGGATGAGAAGTCTGTTGGTGATGCAGGCAAGAGATCATGACAGTGCAACCTCAGCATTGTGGAGAAAGCAAGAGGATAGGTCTGAGGCTTTTGAGAGACAGGTTTGACTGGACTTAGGGATGAGTTAGGTCTGGACATGTGGTGACCAAGGACTGATTTCTTCCTGCTTCCCAGATGCAAGATGGGTGGCAATCCATACTTCTCTGCAGTTTGTCCCATAATTTAGATCACAGAATTAACCAGATTAAAGAAAAATGTTAACAGCAGCTTCCAGTGCGACTGTGTGTCCCCTTTGGCAAACGGGGAAGTTGAGGCCTAGGGGATTTAAAACACTTGCCTGGGGTCTTGCCCCTGAAGCACAGGCTCAGAGTGCTAAACTGTGCTGCACAGTGTGGGGTGTGCTCGCCTCACTAATCTTGGCTGGGCCTGCTCCACAAGGGCAGAGCCTGTGGCTACCTGACCCCAGGAGGGGACTTCAAAGTGGAGAACCAGTCAAGGACATCCCAGTGCCTGGCTGGCTTCTCAGCTATGACCCTGAGTAAACTTGGGCCATGCAACAGGAAGCAGGGTGGGCCTGACTGCCAGGCTTAGCTGGGGTTGGGTATTTATCTCTCTGCGGCCTGTGGCCTGGGAACCCAGGAAATTTCCCTTCCCTCATTTCCCTGATGGTGCTTGGGGAAGGGGGAGAGTGTGGTGCCAGGACAGCGTGCTAGATTTGGGTGAGACAAGCCTGAGTTAGGATCCTGGCTCTGCTGCATGGTGGCGGTGTGGCCTTGGTTCAGGTCTCTGAATTGGGAAGGGGTTCGGTATGGTTGGCTGGGACCACTTGCAACAGAGCTGAGTTCAAAATCTGGCTACTTTGCCATTGACAACCGATGCCACACAAGCTTTGGATGCACCTTTGCATATGTAGAAAGGAATCTTGAAGAATACTGTAAACTTTCCCATCTCAGCCACATTTCTTCACCTGTAAAATGGGAATCAGGATTTCCACCTTTCCAGAATGTTGTGAGGATTTCAAGAGGCTGTGCCTGTGAGAGGAGCAGGGAGCTCCACACTTCCCCAGCCCCCCAGATTCCCAAGCATGGCCTGTCCTACCTCCCCGAGGCCCTGACCAGATGCATAAGGAACCTAGTACCAAATAAGATAATTGTATGCCAGACCACAGGCAAGTAGTCTGGAGAAGGAAACCCAGGGAAAGGTCAGAGAATGATTGGGTTGGGAGTCCTGATACAGATGGGGTGGTCAAAGAAGGCTTTTATGAGGTGTCATCTTAGCCAAGACCCAAGTAATAAGGCAGACCCAGGTACAGGAAGCTCTGGGGACAGAGGCATGAGCTGGCATGTTTGGAGGACTCCGTGTGACTAGAATAGAGTGAGTACAGGGGACAGAGAGCGGTGAGGCAAATGGGCCCGTGCACATGGGCCCTTGTGGGCCTAGAAGGTGTTTTTTGTTTTGTTTTGAGTCCAAGTCTCACTCTGTTGCCCAGGCTGTAGTGCAGTGGCGCAATCTCAGCTCACTGCAACCTCTAGCAGGTGTTTAGAGTTTATTCTGAGTCCCAGGGGACACCACTGGAGCATATGAGCAGGCAGAAGGGTGACAGGATTCAAATTAACATTTTTTATGGTTTTTTTTTTTTTTTTTTTTTTGAACTGAGTTTTGCTCTTGTTGCACAGGCTGGAGTGCAATGGTGCGATCTCAGCTCACTGCAGCCTCTGTCACCCAGGTTCAAGTGATTCTCCTGCCTCAGCCTCCCAAGTAGCTGAGATTATAGGCATGCGCCACCACGCCTGGCTAATTTTTTGTATTTTGTGGAGACGGGTTTCACCATTTTGGTCAGACGGGTCTCGAACTCCTGACTTCAGGTGATCCACCTGGCTTGGCCTCCCAAAGTGCTGGGATTACAGGCATGCACCATGTGCCCGGCCAAATTAATTTTTTTTTTTTTTTTGAGACAGAGTTTTTGCTCTTGTTACCTAGGCTGAAGTGCAATGGCTCGATCTCGGCTCACCGCAACCCCCACCTCCTGGGTTCAAAGAATTCTCCTGCCTCAGCCTCCCAAGTAGCTGGGATTACAGGCATGCACCACCACGTCCAGCTAATGTTATATTTTAGTAGAGACATCGTTTCTCCATGTTGGTCAAGCAGGTCTTGAACTCCCGACCTCAGGTGATCCACCCACCTCAGCCCAAATTAACATTTTTAAACACTCCTTCTGGCTGCTGAGAATGGATTGATTGGCAGGGGGGCAAGAACAGAAGCAGGCAGACATTGAGGAGGCAATTGCAGCCATCCCAGTGGGAGACTGACCAGGGTAACCAGGGTGGAGACAGAGCGATGGCAAGAGAAAGGGAACCCATTTCAGAGGAAGTGCTGACAGCACTTGCTGAGCAATGATAATAGTTATGGAAAGTCATGGTCAAAGCTAAAGAGCCCAGGAAGGATGTACAGCCTATTGAATGTTCCCAGTTATTTTGATTTTGATTGAATGTCCCACGGTTCTTGGAGTTGGGAGGTTAGGGAGTCTAAGTACTGGCTTAGGTGTGGGGAAGGAGTAGAGAGGAATGAAGGTATTCCATGTGACTGCAGGCTCTAGAATACAATCACACCTGGAGAAAGTGGGAGGGCCTTAGAGAATCTTTATCCTTATCTAGCCCTGGAAAAACCTTGTGATGTCATTTCCTTAGCTCTGTCTCCCTTTAGATCGTGAGCTTCACAGGGTCAGATGCCTCTCCTGTAGAGTCCCCATGTCCAGTACTGGGCCTGCCACGTAATTGATGCTCCAAAAATGGTGGTCAAAGGAATGCATGGTAGCGCACACCTGTAATCCCAGCACTTTGGGAGACTATGGTGGTGGATCGCTTGAGCCCAGGAGTTCAAGACCAGCCTGGGCAACATGGCAAGACCCCCATCTGTACAAAAAAATTAAAAATTAGCTGGGTGTGGTGGTGTGCACCTGTGGTTCCAGCTACTCGGGAGGCTGAGGTGGGTGGATAACCTGAGCCCAAAAGGTCCAGGCTCTTCTGGTGAGCGCAGCAAGACCGTGTCTCTAGACAAATAAATATTTAAATTATATATATATATGCAGACACACACCCATATATGTGTGTATATATATTTATATGTATAGGCTGGCCATGGTGGCTCATGCCTGTAATCCCAGCACTTTGGGAGGCTGAGGCAGGAGGATGGCTGGATGGCTTGAGCCCAGGAGTTTGAATCACCTGACAACACATAGCGAGATCCCTCCTCTTTTTTTTTTTTAAATTCAACCAGAAAGAAAAAGAATCTATGCTATTTTTTTTTTGAGACGGACTCTCAGCTCTGCCGCCCAGCTGAGTCAGTGGGCCAGATCTCGCTCACTGCAAGCTCCGCCTCCGGTGTTCACGCCATTCTCTCGCCCAGCCTCCGACGTAGCTGGACTACACGGCCCGCCACCTCG